AATGGCCGATCCCGATACTAACTACGGACTTGCCTACTATGAACACGGCTTCGTGCACATAATCCATTCAATCTTCTTCGACGTCAACCCTAGGATCAACCATACGATTGAGGACTACATAGAACGCATCTTGGACACATTGGTTGAAGCTATTGAAGAGCAACTTGAGATCGTTGAGTGGAGGATCGCAATCGATCCTTAACGAAGGTTTTCTAATTTTCATTTTTTTGTATTTCTTAAGTCTGATTCTTTCATATGCTTTGATTGCAGTCATGAAGGATGCGTTTACACGATTTTGCCGAGCTTAGTAAACGTAGGGAATTAAGTGCACTTCTTTGTTTCCTAAATCTTATTGTTAGATTAGGGATTTTTGTTGAAAGCTACTACTTTGCATAATATTGTTTTCCTACGATATTTTGAGGGCTCAAATCTCTTGATATGCAACTTAGCCTAAACGAAAGTGACCGCTCTTACGTTTTGATTTATCATTTTATTTGCTAATAGTTCTATTTGTTATTCCTCTAATCAATAAGTTGTGCAAGCTCTTAATAAAATGTTGCATGCATTGTAGTCCTACATCACTATCAGTACAAGGCATGGAAAATGAAGAATGGGTGCAAATCTCATGGTGCAGTATGTTTACTTGTAGGATTTGATCTATATAATTTCTTAAAAACCCTTGTATCCTTGAGATAGTGTTATTTAGGAAATAATACACTAAGTTAGTTCAAAAATTCTCTTATTCAATTTTGTTTCGCTTCTCTAAACCAAGCAGTATAGGCTCCGAAAAGCTTAAAGGGCTCAGCACCACATAATCCCATCATGCCTAAATGATGCTTGAATTGAGAAAACTACTATCACAATTGTATTACTTTGAAGTGGTTCTATTGAGTCTAGATGGCACTTTGAAGTGAATTTATGTACCTAGAAGTGGTTGTATCTTCACCTTAATTGTCGAAATGTTATGACTCGAAATTGGAACGACCAATACAACATAAACTTGATATATATAAACACTTTAGGTTCCAACTATCTCTTGCTTGAACTTGTTTCAAAATTTTCCAGCAATTCGGAAGCTAACTCTCCTTTTCTTCCCTAAAATGTGATGCTCCAATAGAGGCAAAATGATAACTGAAACAACCATGAAATTCTCCCTACAAAACATTAAGTCCTACGATTCTTCTTGCTTTCATGACAACCAAATAATCTTGAGGATCTTAATATCCCTTGAAATTGTATACCCTACATTACTTAGAGCACCAAACACATAAAATGCATTCTTTAAAAAGATATTCTAGCTACACCATATGTTATCAATGTTTAAAATTATGCAATATGACTGGGCCCTCTGCACCATAAAATGCATTATTTAAAATGAGAAATATCGTGGCCATCATATTCACTATAGTAGGCTTGGAGAGCTTAAGAACTCAATATTTAATATCGGGCTCTTTTATACCTATTATAATCAGAGAGCGGAAAATCCTATTCATATAAAACTAGATAGAATTTTGGTTAATAATGCTTGGCTAGATTGTTTTCCCTCTTCCTTTTACAAAGTTGAACCTCCCAACTATTATGATCATTCCCCTTTGGTGCTCTTCTCCAGTTCCAATACTACAAAAGACTACAGATTATTGTTTAAGAACTACTGGTATGATATGGAAGGATTCTGGGAGGCTGTTATTTTTGCTTTTACTGCTAATGCAATTGGTAGTCCTATTGCTTCTTTCTATGCCAAATTACAGAATCTTAAATCCTTGATTAAAGTCAAGAATTGTGCATCTTCGACATTCTTCTTGGCTACTAGCAATGATCTAAAAGCCCGTCAACATGCCTACCTTTTGGAACCTCAGAACAACTAACTTGACCACTCCCTTAATTCATCCTTAAAAGAGGTGAATTCTCTGCTAGCTTCATATCATTCCTCTTGGTCCGCTTGGATGGTTCAAAGGGCAAAATCTAAATTGCTTTCAAATGGAGAAGATGATCTTGATTTTCTGTATGCTAAAATTCATTCTAGAAACAATGTTAACTTGATCAAAGAGCTTACCACCTCTCTTGGGTTCTTTTGTACCCCTCAAGGGGTTGCCTATGCTTCCATACGACACTTCAAGAACCTCTTTAACTCCCCAAACCACTCCAAACCAGCACACATAATATCCCTGCTATGAACACCATTCTCTCCCTTCTCGTTGGTTCCCTTTATCTCCTATCTTTAATGATGAGATAAAAGTTGTTGTCTTTTATGCCCCTGCCTCATCTGCTTTGTGGCCTGATGATTTTACTTTTGAGTTCTATAAATGCTCCTGAGATGTTATTGGTCTTTAAGTTTGCAATGCTGTAAAATATTTCTTTCATTATGGGCACCTCCCCAAAGGTGCTAAAGCTACTGCTATCACCTTGATTCCTAAATGCTCTCATGCTATTAATATTTCATACTACCTTCCAATCTCCCTATGCAATGCATTTTCCAAAATTAGAGCCAATATTATTTCTAATAGAATGAAGCTCAATATGTCTTTTATTATTTATCAAAGCTAAGCAGGGTTTATTTATAACAGAAGTTCCTCGGATATCATAACAACATACTTGCCTCTGAGCTCTTCGGGGAATTCAATACTGCTGCCAGCAGGAAATTCTTCTATGAAAAATTTTATATTAACAAGGCCTTTGATACAATATCTCATGAATTTATGCTATCTAGGATTGAGTAAACAGGTTTTCCTATCATATTTATCAATTGGATTAAAGGGTGCATCAATGATGTGCATTTCTCTATTTGCTTTAATGGGGCACTTGAAGGATTTTTTAACTCTTTATCGGGGCTGAGGCAAGGAAGCCCATTATCGCCATTACTTTTCTGTATTGTCATGGATGCTCTCTCTTGCTCCCTTGATGCTTCTAGCCCCTCCCTTAACTTTACAGGTATAATGTCAAATGGCTATAATTACAATCACCCACTATATGCAGATGATTTGCTTGTTTTTGGCTCGGCCTCTACTCAAAATGCATCTTCTCTTGACAATATCCCTCTCTCTTGCGGCTGCCTCTGGTCTATACATAAATAACTCTAAATGATCCATTCTTTTCTCTCCTTATACTCTTACTGCTGCTGATATTTGTTGCATTCTTTGCATTCTTTGAGCTGATGCTGTCCTTAAAGCGTGGGACTGCTTATCTCTACTAAATAGCTTTTATCTGCTCACTTCCAAATTCCAATCACTTAAGAGTAGGATTTATACTCTACTTGATGGTTTGTTGGTTCAAGAAAAACGGTGCAAAGCTATTGTGGGAATCTCTTGACAATATCCTTCCCTCTTTTGCTTTCACTGTTCTGGGACCTTTGGTGTAACCTCAAAGCTATTTCAGAATTAATGTTTCCTACCAGTTATACCCATTTGACAGCGAATGATTTTATCTTAAATGGGCTCTGGGCTATTCCTGGACACTTCTCTGAAGCGGTTAAACATGCTATTTCTTTAGTCCCTATTCTTGAACATTCCTCTCCCTCTATCTCTTGGAATGGCTCTGAGAATCCTACCTTCAAAACTTTTACGACACATGCAGACTGCTCCTTGGTTTAATTACATTTGGCATAAGAAGTATGCTCGTCAGTCCGCCTCTTATGCTTGGATGGCTTCTCTCGAGGGCTTAAAAACGGCTGAATTTCTTATTAAAAGGAATATTGATGTTTCATCCATTTGTTACCACCTCGGTTTCAAGTTTGCTGAGACTCATCAACACCTGTTATTTGAGTGTGACTATTCATTTTTTGTCATTTATGCTCTGCTGCCTATTTGGGAAGTTTTTTTAGTTAGGCCTAACTTACAACAGCTTTTTTATCACTATGCTAGCATGTCTTAAACTTGCGAGATAAGATCTTCTGTTACTTCACTATATGCTTCTCTTTGTATTTTCTGTGGAGAGAAAGGAATGACAGGCATTTCTCTGGTAAATGGAGCTCCTCCTCCTCTGTCTGCAGCCATATTAAATTCGCCATCTCTCTAAGGCATCAAAATGGAAGAGATATGAAAGGCTCAAATCTGTTTTTCCTAACTGCTTTTAATTTCTTCCTCCGTGTTTTGTTTGATGCGCACATCTTCATCTAGATTCTTGTGGTTTTGGGCATTATCCGCTACTTTGCCTTTCGGCTTGACTTTGCTTGGTTTCTCTTTTGGACGATGATGAATGACCGCCAACTTCCTTCCAGCATTTCCTCTTGGAGGGCTCCTGTGGCAACCGGTTGTTTTTTCATGGAAGGCCCGTGTGGCAATCAGAGGGTGAATTTTTGTTTATTGCTTGCTGACCGAGCTTTTACTGGATGTGGATCTGATAACCCGGATGTTGGCTTTTTGCACTTCCTGAGTCCACTATTTTGGTTTCACTTCAGTTTCACTCTTTCTGTTACTTCTAACTGCAGGTTTTCTTTGTAGCCTTTTGTTTTTTACTCCAGTTGGAGTCTTTTCTCTTTCGTCACAACTCTGATCATACTTGTAATTTTGCTTCTGAGTTGTTTTTCTCTATTCATAGCATTGTAATTCTGTTCTTTCATTAATGATATGGACTTTGCCCCAAAATTTCTCAACAAAAAAAAGAGTAAAAAATTCAATCAAAATTTTCAAGTTGTTTGTTGTCCTTTTGACTTAAATGTTGGATTTGGATGTTATTCTTTTCTATCGTGGTGCAAGTAGATAATATCAATTTTTGGGGTAAGTTGTCCTTGTCCTGAACTAATGTTTGAATTTTTATAATGCAACATTTTCCTAGAATTTCAAGATCAGTCGTCTTCATCCATATCTTGTTACTTTTTAATATTTAAGATAGTTATGATTATTTAATGATACTCAATCTTTATGATCTTATGGAAATTTACAGGTGCATATTTAAACCAACCAAATTCATGTTTGCAGAAAGAAATGTTCATGAATAGACGGTTAAATATTTTGATTCTTTTAATGTATTTCACATGTTTCTGTTTTTGTTGGGTTCATATTCAGGTGCCGGAGCAGAAAGTTCTCAGAACTCAAGAAGGACTCGGTCAACTAACTCAGTAAATCTAGGGCTTATATTTCAGAGTCAACCAGCATCCTCTCTTTCATTTTTTGAATCGCCTTGGCGAATTTCCAATGAACAGGAGGTACTTCTTTCATGTTTTCATTTTTGCAATGCACAAATTGAAATTTATTGTGTCACAGAGTTATGTTGCCAATTTTGTATTTCAGCTATTTCCTGATACTTTGACGACTGTCAATGATTTCATTGATCGGATGAATGGGGAGTTTCAAAGTTGTTGTAACTCATTGAACAATGATCAGCATCAGCTGCTTTCACTGAACAATGATCAGCATGAGATCCTTTCGAGGGGCACAATAACTGCAACTTTACCAGCCCTTCAAACTTTGAGTATTGTTTTGTGGCGAGCAGCACAGCTTCTTAGGGAAAATGCAACCACGGCTCTTTCAGTATGTGCCATATGCTCCTTATCTTTCTTTAAGGGTGAATTGAAAAGCGGAAAATACACTAAAGGACAGAGTGTAGTGTGATGCATTACTTTGCTATTGATTTCTAAAATTGATGGATTTGGTGACTGGAAATTATGACATGATCATCAATATTGTTTACAATTTTGTTGGTATCTGCTCATCTCCAGTGTTCATAAGCCAATTGGAAGATTCACGCCCCATGATAAGAATAACATTGATTACAACTTAGTTAGAAAATTAATAAAATCATGTTGATTATGTCAGGGACATTTGAAAGGATTCATAATTATTTGACTAACTCATCTCTTTGTTAGAACGTTAGGTTGTATTATCCTCATTTGTAACCTGTGATAAACTAGGAATTCCATTTGCCTTTCATTGTACATTTAAGATATATATCCATAACTATTATTCTATGATGTGAAGTCAAACTTTTCTTGGATTGTTCTTGCAATTTTTTCAAAAAGAATTTTTCTTTCTTAGTAAAAATAAGCTAGAAGTAGTCATGTACTCCTTATAGAATTATACGTTTGCTATTGCAAAATTATGTGTTATAGCAAAATCCAAGAGCCCATCATATTTGATCATATAAGATCATTTTACTTGCACTTGATAATTATTCTTTCTTCCACTTTTGTAAGTTATAATAGTTCACCCATCTCTTCTGAAAATTATTTTCTAATCCAATTGGAGAAACATAAACACTACTTACATTTATAATGCCCTCTACTGAAAATTAACTCAATTGAAATCATCTTATTACTAAAATGATTAACCTCAATAATTTTCTTTCAGGTTTATATCCACACTACATCCCTACCCTATTTTATAGTTTTCCAACATATAATATATTGCAACCTTCATAAAAAATAGTAAAAATAAAATAAAATAAAATAAAAATAATAAAAAAATTTGCAACCTTCTTTAATGTCATTGGATTTTTTCCCCTTTCCTTAAAATATGCTATAAACAATCAATATTTATTTATTTTTTATTATTTTGTTTACCAAATTTTTTTTTTATTTTCCCATTGAATGTTCCCCCATTTCCTTACTACGATTTGATTAAGTTGTAGCTGGTTATTTTTTTTTAGTGACACGCTAACCAAACTTTGCCTATTTTTTTACCAAAATCTAGTTAAGTTGTGCGGCCTCATCTGATTGGCGACTTTCTAGAATAGTTTTGTCTGCTTCTCACCGCAATTAAGTTAGGTCGTTTGTTACATCTCTTTTCAAGACCATCCTATTACTAGAAAATTTTAAATTTAAATTCATTTCACAAATTTGGGCATAAGTTTGATGATTAGCCACTGCCTTTTTTTCAAACCCTCAATTTTTACATTTAAGCTGGTGATTGGGACTAGTAATAGTTGTTTTGAACCTCATCTTCTATACATCTAACATTATTATATAACCCTCAGTATTCTTCTTTGTTTTTGCCTTTGCGCTTATTTACATTTTTTTCTCTTGCATTATTTGATAATTTTCGTAAATGTACAGAATCTATCCACACATTTGCTAAGAATAGAAAACAGCGATGACCAAGTCTTGCGAGGTCAGACACAGTTTGGAGCAGTGCAGTTTGGTTTAGCAATGCAGCATCTGGGAGCCTTGTTCTTAGAGCTTGGCCGAGCATCGATGTCTCTACGCCTTGGGCGAAGGCCAGTATGTTACATTTCTATTCAAAACGTGCATATGCAAGGAGAAATTACAAACTCTGTTGACAAGTATCCTGTGGCTCAAGCAATTTCTAACTTTCATAAATTTACCTGCATTCTCGTTTGCTTTAGAGGGAGTCATCTGTAGAAACTGGAGGCTCTGTTTATATATCTTCAACAGGGCCAAATCAAATAATGGTTGAGGTTGATCTTTCCCATTATAAATCACATATATCTGTATCTATTACTCCCATTTCTTGTCATTTTGGGGATTCTATCTAATTTTAATACTTTGTATGTAGCAATTTCCTCATCAATCATTGCATCCATTTCGGGTGCATCGCCCTCGCCCTGTCCATTATAGGCAAGAAGAATTTGTACCTGTAGTTTCAGCTTCTCAAATTTCTGGTTCTGCACTACGTACAGGGCCTCCTTCAGGATCTAATACTGTCCCGACACTTGAAGGTCAGGCAACTGAATGCAGAACACAATCTGGTATGTCATATTCCACCTTAAACCTCCTGAGTTATACAATCGTATAATGCAAACGACTCAGTTGAATTTGAATGAGTTATCTAACCTAGAAGACGTACTTGTAGGTACTCACAAGATGCAATTTTTCTATCAGCTTCAAAATTTTGCTGACTATGAGCTATTTTTTACTTTAATTTTCACTTTTCATGTTGCACTTGACTAGACACAGGCAATGATGGGATGAGACTTTCTGATCTCGATGTTTCTCGGCAGGTTGAGCAGCAGGTAAGGTTTGGCATGTAAACATAATATTCTTCTGGATTTGTCTATATGAACGGTGATAACTATCAGTGGATTATGCTCTTTATTGTGCTCAGATTCAATTTGACGCTGATCCTTTTAATTTTATTGATTCTAGTAAAGTTTTGAAGAGTCATTAACTCCCAACACAACAAGTAGTCCTTCGGACTGCCAATCAGTGGTATGCCATCCTCTTTATTGGATATTAAATCTTCCAAGTGAGAACCAGTTTTGGTGAGCTCTTGCAGCCATTCCAATCGAACAGAAAAATAGATTGCAAATACTGTGGGCTATGAGAGAGATTCATACGACAAGAAATGTCATAAAGAATTGGATTGTATCATCTGTAGGATGGAAACAATATTAGGATTATGGGAATCAATGGAAAGTAGCGTAGTCAGAGATACATGTCTTTTGAGCACTTCGTAAAAAGGGTACCATACTATTTTGAAAGTGAAGACAATTCACTTAATGGGTTTGAAAAAAAAAAAAACTTGAATACACCATAGATTTCCCCTATCCTATTTGGCATATCATGCCAAATAGAATTTATTTTAGTCTAAGTAATTAGATTTCCCATTGGCGCACACCCTCATAATTAATAATATTTTTGACATAGAGTCCTATTATTGCTTTTATACTACTTAGTTTTTTGGATAAATGTTTTAATATCTTAAGAGCCTACAAATGACTCTTCCAAATCGATTAAAAAATAAAGAAACATAAGAAAGATTCTGCTATTCTAGTGCGCAATCATATAAACAATCAGTAATGAATAAATAATAGCCTAATGTGCAGTCGAGTTCTTCAATACACACCAGAAAAATAAACTATATGTAACTGGTATCTACCATAAATTCAATCAAATCGTAGAAACTATATATGGTGAATGATATGTGCGCTCTTGAAGTATTTTGTTCGGATCATCATTCAGTCTACTACCTTCTAAGATAACTCATATATCCACATGATTTTTTTAAACTAAAAAGTATATATTCAAAGTAAAAAAAAGTTCCAAAATTACTCCCAAAAAAAGATGTTAGTACGGGAAAGCATGTATATTTACTTAATAGGCCTAACACAATTTTGTGTCAAACAACATTTATTTAGGACATGCCTACTAAGGGGATAAGCTAGCAAGTTCCTACAAAAAGAGCGGATCATATTTATTTTTGTTTTGTCCCTTTTGCCCTTTTGTGCATGGCTATAGCATCTACAAAGACTATATATACACACGCACGCGCGCGCGACCCTAACTTCATCTTACCCTAAACAAATAGAATCTATAATCGTGTCTATTGCATCACTTAGTGTGCAAAAACTCAGTGTGGTCTCAAGATTTTTCTCATATGATCAAGATAAAACTATCAATTTGGTCTTATCCTAAAAATTCAATTAAACTAAAATATTTGTACAGATGTCTTAAATCTACAATTAATATCTAATGTACATAATCGAGAAACATAACATTAAATTAAATAAAATATTTTAGCTAAATAAAATTACCTTGAAAACTTGCTGATGATTCTTCTGAAATTTCTCTCTCGATTGAATTCTTCTAACACCCATAAATTCCTGCATTCGTCAAATATATAGAGGGCAGTGGACACAAATCACGGCATAAATTTGAATAATTTATGGCGGGTGTATTAGGCGAATCATGGGCGCGGAATGGGAGGAAATAATTATGGCAGGTGTGGAATCGGAGGAGCAGTTGACGCGCGTAATTCATGGGTGCACATGAAACAAGAATAATTTAAGAAACTAGAATTCACGGGTGCACACAAGAAATTGGAGGTACTCCTGTTTCTTAAAAAACTAGATTACAAAATTCTGGCTTCTAAGAAACCGGATTATCAACCCCCGGTTTCTTCCAATTATTGATATATCCTGTACATCCATTAATTTTGTGCATCATTTGCTTCCAATTTTTCCGCTCAAACACATCTGTATACATGAGATGGTATCGGTCGTGGGATTCCTATACATATTCAATGTTCCACAACAACTTCCGGAAATATTCTACTCGAGGTCTCTAGGCGAGCGATTGATGCTAAGTATGGTTGATTCTAATGTTCAACTTATTTAATTATTCACAATTTTAAGTAACATTGCATTGCTTAAAAACAGACTGATTACATCCGGCCTAGCAGGCATATCACTCACCGATTCACCGGTCAACATGGTGAAAGTGCAAGCTCTATGTAACAGGCACTTAACGATTGTGATGAGCTGTACTCCAGGCTGGAGACTTCTTTAATTTTTTACTATAGCTTGCTTGATTCTAGTGAGGAGCATGAGAGACAATAGTGTAGCAGAGTCATGATGATGAGCCTCAGATGTAAAGGCGGTCTACATCAGATGTTCCATCCAGGATGATGGGAGATAGAAGTCATGCAAGAGCGACATATGAACTAGCATGGCAGTCAATGTATGTTAGGTCTGGAGACTTTGTTGTGCCATTACAATTCGCTATAGGATTTTCTAGCATTGATATGGGAGGGGGGGGCAAGGTTCGTCAGAGGCAAGATCATCAAGACAATATTGTACTCAATATGGCTTACAATGGGGCAGTATTGCTCTTGCATATCAGACAAAAATTCAAGCATCACAGCAAGTGCCAACACACGTAGAGTATGCAAATCCTAGCATGGATGAATCCATTCGGACTGCTACACTCCTACACAACAGGATGAGCTCCTCCAGCGAACTCAACCAATACAAAGCATTGCATACTTGGGTGTTCAAAGTAAAGATGCTGTTGGAGGCCTACTAGTTAGATCTGAGAAGAAGTCGACCACCTGATAGGTACACACCGGGGAGTGCAACTATCCCTAAACCTAAGAAGTAGGGCAGAAGATTGACATCATGTATGTTGTGCTGATGTAATCAGATCATGCCTCTTATTTCTAAGATATGAACTTCTATTTTATTTTTGTTAATTGCATAACATAATATGATGATTAATCAACTAAACTGAACTAAAAAAACAAAATATTTCTTAATCATTAAATTTGATAATTTAATGTATAGTTAAATAAAAAAAATTTAGATTAATACTTAATTGACTAAAATAATTATACACGTTAGATCAATTTTCTTAATTAATTCAAATATACCATTAATATTACAATTTAATTCACATAAATAAAATAATAATTTATGCGAACTAATTTTCAGGAGAACTAAACTAAAGAATCATAAGTACTCATCCTAAATAGAAATTTTTTTTTAATGAAGCACAGGGAACCGATTACATAACAAACTAAAATACATAAACACGTGTCATATTAAATAAGAGAAGTATAGTGAAGAAAATTTAGAAGAAGTTAACAAAGATAACATTTAGACGAAGAGATAGATTTACTAATTCCTAAGCAGCATATGCAACCATAATTAGAGTTGTGTTTGAGTTGGACAATATTTCAAATGGAACTCAAACTCATATTGCAGGTCTTGCCATTCCTCAACCTTGAAGAAATGTTTAGGCTTACTATGATGTTATAACTCATATATCCAATCATTTTATAAATCCAGAATGAACTAGTCAAACCCCGAACACCAACGATGACATAAAATGGCATGCTCAATGTCAAGGTGGCTGTAGTCAATATCTGGCGGGGAATGACTGTCATCTCTACGATGTTTCATCTCATGGTACCGCATCTGTAAGAAATGAGGGATGATATGGTGACTATTCTCTTTCCAAAACCTAATTTGAAGATTTTTCCAACCAGCGACATTTAATAAATCTCTTGTCCTGTAAAGTTTTACCCTCAGTACCTTAGCATGCATACTCCAAAGGCAATCATCCTCATCTTCTGAACATTCATGGATACAACACCTAAATATCTCATTCACATTTGCCTTTTTTTCCAAAGGAGTGTCATCGGCTCGTGCTTATACAAGCATGCATTCTTCGGCTTGCATCATCAAACATTTCTTTATTGAGGAAGCATTTAACCTTCTTCGTACATTGCCAAAACATTCTAAATAATTCAAGTAAAAACTCTACAAATATATTTCATGTGTCTTTTATATACCCTTTAAATAGTAGAGAGTAAAGATATCCAATCATCACTTGCAGCCATAAAACACAATAAGACTTGAATGTACCTTACAAATTTGTAGGCCAACTGATGAGATAGGCTATTGCAAATTAAATGACATGTCAATGCATAATGAACGAGATGTTATAAGGATCATATGCTCTGAATGCGATTTTTGGATAGAGGAATCCAATGTTCACAACAAGTACACATTAATTGCTTTTTACAGAGGAATCCAATATCCACATCAAGTATACATTAAAATCATATTTAAGAATTTATTTAAAGATATAACAAATTGTATACATAATTATTATAAATTATTCATTAATTAATTTATAAAAATTTAAATATAAAAGATAAATTAACAATTTTTTTTAAATGAATTTTAATTCTAATTTAAATATCGTTAAATAACAGTATAAATTTTTTAAAAATTTAACTGATTTAAATTAAAAAAAAAATATTATAAAAAAAGTAGCTGGAACTTTAAAAAATCGGAATATATTCATCTGGTTTCTGTAGAAACCAGAACATTGAATTTCGGTTTCTTATCCGGTTTCTGCTAAATCGGATTAACATTTTTCGATTATGTATACGTTACTTGATACTCTGTATTAGCTCCTTTTTAAATTATTTTGATAGTGTGCTTCTACCGCTTAATTTGGCCTAAAATGTGATTCTTTTTATTATTTGGCCGCTTGGGAAGTTAAGGGACAGGCATTTAATGAACTATGCCCTTTTTCCCTCAAATAAATGATTTTTAAAATTATTAAAAAAATTGGGTTGCTCTAAGTGAGAAAAATAAATATAATGAAAAGAATGATATAGGAAGATCTTTTAGGAAAATAGACGTTTTTTTTCTAAAAAATTTTTAAAGTTTTTGCATTATTATAACTTTTGCCAAACTATATGAGTTAGCATTTTATAAATTCAGCTCTTCATTGAATTTTTTGGATTTTGTATGAATTGTTCAATGTCTTTTATTTAAAATTTTTTTATCCAAATTATATCTATATTATCGTCAATTTATTACATGTTCTTCCTAATCCTTCAATGAGAATTTTGTCTAACAGTCGTATTGTGTATACGTATTTATATTTTTTATTTTACGAGCCTCTTCCAATCTTTCACAACCCTATCTTCAATAGTTGGCACTAGGACCTTCCCGCCTATTTAAATATATTTTAAATTTATATTTCCTCATTTTGTTACACATTCCATCTTCATATTCTCATATCTCTCATGCTCAATTTGACTATTAAAGACTTGTTTCTACTGCAATGTTGTCTTATATACAAAGCTATTGATCTAATAATAATTCTGTAAAATTTATCTTTAAGGTGGCGTAATATTCTTTTATTGCATAATGCTTATACATTTCGATTAAAAAAAATAAAAAGAAAAGAAAAAAGTATGTCTATTATGCAAAATCATAAGAAGCCAAAGTCTTTTAAACTTATCTTTAAATGTTTACAATGATAAAGCTTCTCTATGCTATAAATTTAAAAATGTTATTTTTTTCTCTATTTATGGGCCACGAGTATTTAGAATTTAAGTGTATTTTAAATGTATTGTAGAGTAAATTTAATTGTATTTGAAATAATTTAGAATTATTTGGTTGAGTGTAAAACAAATACAAGAGATTATTTTATTATTTTTAATTTTAAATAAAACGAATTGAGTGTAAGGGCCAACGGTAGTGGCCGACGATGGCGAGGCATCAATGGGGGCGGCGGTAGCCGAAGGTTGCTAGTGCCATGTGGCAACAAGGCTGCGATTGCCAAAACTTCACGTGTGATGTATTTTAAATTCATCCAAATTAAGTGAACTCTAAATATATATTGAAAATTGATGCAAGCAAAAAGTCAGCAAAAAAATTAGGAGACGTCTAATTTTTTTGCTAGAAAAACATTACCTTACTAGGATAAAGAAATTACACGAAGTAGACAAAATACAACTTCACTTCATAATTATAATAGGACTTACAAACTTTGACACATACAAACGACTCAAACAAACTTTCAAAACATAAACTCCTAAAGTTGCAATTCCATCATTTGAGAAGAAGGATACATGTGGTGTGGATTCTTGCGTAGAGAAGACGGGGATTAGAAGCCAAGACGAAAAGAAGGAGAAGCTCTTTCAAGCTTTCCTAGAAGGAAGAAGAAGAGAAGTTGGACAAAACTCTCAAGCTTTTCCAAAGAAGAAAAACCTCTCAGGTTTTTATCCCAAAAATCTCATTTTTCACCATCCTATTCAATGCCAAAACATCTCCATTTTATAGGCAAAAGAATGCAGCTAAACAGCCCAAATATCTCCCATTAAACCCATTAAATTCAAGGAATATAGAAGGCCAAAAGACTGCAAACAGAAGCCAAAAGACCTCAAATATGCTGCATCAAAACTGCACAGAAAACAAAGAGGCAGCCACCGAAACCCCCACCCAACAGCAACCCCAAACCGGTACTGGAAACAGAGAAAAGAAGGCCACGGGAACCAAGCAGGCAGCCACGGGAAAACCAGCCAGCACAGGAAACAAAGGGCTAATGCACAGGAAAAACAGCCTGGGCCACGGGAATAGCATAAGCCCAAAAGAAACCCAGGGGGCAAGGAGGAAACCGAGAAGGCGGCATGGGGAAGGGGAAAAGCCAAACTTTTCCACACATAATGAGCTGAAATTAGTAGAGAAACCTTTTTGAATTAATGAGCTAAAGTCACAACTTAAGCATTTAGGAGCTAGAACCAAGTAGATCCCAAAAATTAGCTCCAAATCAAAGCAAACAAGGCCCAAACCGAGATATAACAAGCAGCAAAAAAAAAAAAAAATCCATTTTGTTTTGACCCCCCCCCGCGCATGCATCAAAAATGAACTTTAAATGAATTCAAAATGCTTCAACAACTTATTCTGATTTTTTTCTTTTTACAACCAACTAAACAACTAAATCTTGAAAACCCTTGCAGTCATTTACTTTGCATTCCATTTTCAAACGACCAAGTAACTCCAAGTTATTTAATTTGACTCTTAGAACGCCATATTCGTATTTTTTTAATAAAAGTTTTAAGTCATTATAGATTGGGTGTCGTGTATATTTTTGTATTCATCTTTTTAGTGGATAGTTGTGAAAATTTAAAGCATTTTAATGTCTTTGGTTGAACATAAACTAATGCAATGGTGGATTTAAGGGAGGCATGTCGGGACATTTGTCCTCTTTAAATGTTAAATATGTCTTTATATATAATGTATGCATATCGATGTCACTTTCATTTGATGTTCATAACAACAAACATTCAATTCTTACCCTAATCCTAATATTAAAATTAATTAATGTGCAACTCCTCCACTTCCTAATATCATTAGTACAGTTCACTGTTTTAGTGCTAAGTGGTGGGCAATACTTAGCAATAATGTCCATTTAAATGCATATTTTGTATTACAAAATTATATTTTTTTATTGCCGGTTCTCATCATGTTTAGAATTGAAATGAAAATGCCCTCAGTTGATTGAGAACATGTTTATATATCTGTTTGGCAGTTGCTGGAAACTCCTAACGTGCTCCAATATTACAAGGCATAGTTATGAGTGAAGTTAGCTTTGGCCCAAATTGCAGTCGATAGCACTTTTTTTATAATTACTGTACAAGCTATACGAATCCCTGCACGCTCTTTTGCTCTACATTTGTCATAAAAATGGAAGTTCAAATTTTAGCACAAACAATTTTTTTTAAGGCATTAGTTGATGCTCTGCGTGGTATACTTGGATGTTGTTTAAATCACATTCTTCGCGTGTTTGAAAGCTATTTGCATGTTGTCATCATATATCTTTATAATTTACTTGAAAGATATTTTTAGATACATTTTAACTTATTATGCTATGTTTACGTTATAATTGGTATGTTTTCATACATAGAGCTTGAAATCTCATTACTTTTGTACTTTTTTGCATAGCTAAAGAAAATGGATTGATTCACACATTTGATTCCGCTCAATTCTATGTGCAGTTTGTGGTGTATAGAGCAGTAATTATGTTTTATTAGCATGTTTTTAATAAGAATCGAGACAGGCTTCTTTTTTCTTGCTCCCTAAGAATTTTTTTTTAACAAGCATTATTTTTTTACTTCTAACCATTCTACTAATCTCTTTCGTATTGTTCATGATTTTTATTTTCACCCTATACTACGGACTACTGTATCTATTAATTGCTTTTGTTGATTTTTATGTCACATACGTGTTTGCATGTCTAGCAATCCAATAAATAAGTTGCTTTGACATCTGAAATATGTTGTGAATTTTGTAACATAAGACTTGAATCGATCCTCATTGTAAATTAATACTTTTTTTGGTTCTCAGGTTGATCTTGGCCAAACTGTTGAAAGAATTGCTCGTGAAACTAGAAATGTGTTCGGAGAATTACTTGAAGATACTGTTAACCAACATGGAGAACTTAATGTTTATGAAGACATCGTCGAACTTAGTAATGAAGAATTTGCCGATGTATGTATTCCTTTGCTTCATAATTTATTTTTTAAGCTTGCTCATATATGGTAGTTCTATTCAGTTTGTAGCTCGTTTTGAGGATTTTGGCCAATTTATTAATTTTTTAATTTATTTTTAATTCAGATCTACTTTCTCAACTTTATTTATATTTGCCATGTCAAGTACTATGCTTATTGAATTACTTGACATCATGCTTTTACTTCTTAATCCAAATCAAAATTCATTTGTGTTGCATGCCATAATATTGACGGTAGTAAAGAGATATATTGAGTTTGACGCTCTAGCTTTGTAGAAAGATCCATCACACACAAATGAAAGAGAGGGGTGCAAGAGTTATAAGGGATACTAAAAGTTTTACATGGAAAACCCTAAAAGGGGAAAAATCACGGGGCATGACTCAATTGAAATGATTCCACTAGTGTATGTTGTTAATCATAAATGATGCTGATAAGAAATGCTTGAAGAAATTTAGGAAAAGCTTTGGTTGAAATCTGATTTTAACAATGCCAGAAAACCAGGAATAGAATACAATATAGCACTTTTTATTGAAAGTTTAATGAAAGAAGAGATAAGATACAAGTGGATCTTCAAAATAATTAGAGAGGAAGATACTGCTCTTCCAAATCTCTAGCCACCGGCTAAAGTCCAAACATCCTAAGAACAATCTAAATTCATCAAACGATGCATTCCCCTAACCCTAAGAAAATCACCTACTTAAAGCAAACAATAAATAATAAATACCCAAGCAGCCCGCCCCCAATTCCCTTTATTTCGTTAATTATTTTCCTCCCAAATCAACCTGCTTAAATTAAGAAACATTTTTTAATTAATCTCCTCCAAATCAGCCATCTTTAATTAGAAAATATTTATTAATTAATTCCCTCTAAATTAGCCCCTAAATATGCTCTCTTCAATTAGGAAAAATCTCCTAATTTATTGCATTTGATTAGGAATCTTCCTAAATAACTCCCTCTTAATTAGGAAACTTTTTAATTCCCTCACAATTAAATCAGGCAGTCCATCAGATTCCCTTCCTCGAGGGAAGGCGTTCGCTCAATGTAGCAAATATGCATCATGTAGAGCATATTGCATAGTTGGAATTGACAGGATCCAATGACATGAGAGTTGTTCTTAAGAGAACATTGTCCTGCTCATTTTTTGGTAGAACCATAGTCGTGTGATGGTGGTCGGAGGGATTGTAGTCGGGTGACGATGGTCAAAGGGACTGTAGTTTGGCGACAGAGGTCGGAGGGACCATAGTCTGGCATAGGAGGTCGGAGGAATAATAGTAGCGCAAAAGAGTTTAGAGGGACCATTGTCGGGCGATAGAGTTTAGAAGGTCCGTTTTCGTACAACAATGGTCGGAGGGACCATTGTTAGGCGACAGAGGTCGAAGGGATAATAGCCTGGCGACTGCGGTCGTTGGGACAATAGTCTGGCGACTGAGGTCGGAGGGACTGTAGTTGGTAGACGATGCTGGTTAGAGGGACCGATGTTGAGCGATGGAAGTCAGAGGAATTGTAGTCGGCGGGCAACTATGGTCGGAGGGACCGTAGTCGGGTGACAAAGCTCATAGGGATTGTAGTCGGGTGAACAAGATTGAAGGGACCGTCATCGGATGACAAAGTTTAGAGGAATATATCGTAGTCGGCGAGCAATTGTTGTCGGGCAACGGAGGGCGGAAGGATCGCAGTTGGGTGACCGAGGTTAAATGGACCATTGTTAGGTGACAGAGGTCAGAGGAACTGTAGTAAACGGACGACGGAGGTCGAGCGGAGACCTGGCGGTGGCGGCTAGAAGGTGGTTTGATGGCGAGGGTTTGCTGGTGGTGGTGCCTGGTTGGAGCTCTGGGACTCTTGAATCTCTAGCCCAAGATCCAAGCCTCCAAAAGTTTCCTTCATGCAGTGAGAGGGGTCTATCTATAGATTTTGAAAGGAACATGTTTTATAAATATGAAAAAGATCCTAAGCAAATTCAGAGTGCTCCATCAAACGTCTTATATTGATTCCCTTGATCATAGAGCATTCATTTAACATTTAAGTGTCTTAATTAATGATGTTAGAATTAAGTGATCTTGGGATTGTTGTATTCGTGTCGAGTCTCTCGATTTAACTATAATCATATTATATTTGGATATCATTTGATCATCTAATTAATAGTCTAAAGCTTCCAAGTATAATTTAAGCCTTTTATTTGAGCCTATTTGGGCTCGGATTGGACCGATTTTAGTATCGTTAAGTTTGTTTTGCCAAGACGTTCAATTAGATTAGTTTGTTGAAATCAGAGTTTGATGGCCCAAAATTTAATTTGAAGATATGCCCTTGTGGGGCTCAGGGGATTTATTATTCATTATATAAGTAGGAGGAATTAATGGGGAACTAATTAGGAAATGTTCATTAAGGAAAAGAGGGTTGATTTGATTGTGAGGGAATTATGAAAGATTTATTTAGGGAAAGGGGCTGATTTGATTGAGAAGGAATTATGAAAGGTGTATTTAAGGAAAGATGGTTGATTTAATTGGGAGGAAATTATGAAAGGTTTATCTAGGGAAAGATGATTTATTTGAATTCAAATATGGGAGGGAAGTAGTAAGGTTTATATTAGGGTTAATTGAGTAGTTTTTTTTTCATTATGTGTGTAACGACCCGGCCTAGAGGTTTGAATTAACGATGTGGCAACAAATAGTCTGACGGTAAATTAATTTTTTATTTACTAAATCTATCTCTAATATACTAAAAGAGTCACCAAAAATTTTAAAAATAAGCTAACATAAAATCATTCAAATTCCTTTCTTCCGGTGCGCCACGTCTACGGTACACATTCTCACCCCTTCTATTCATTTTGATTATATTAAATTATACCTGAAAATATTAGAGCAACTAAAAGTAAAACCACATCTCAGTGAGTAAAACATGCTTATAAATTACAATAACTCAAGGCATATGGAACAATTTTCATGATCACTTTTTCATTTCATATCATAAAATAATTTCATTTAATCATATCATTTCATCAAGACTTTCAATGTTTTGAATCATATATGTATTCTTATCTTTCCCATTTCTCATAAATAAAATAACTGTCACAAGAGTCACCGTCTAATTTAGTATTAATGAAGGTACTCCTTTTTCATTTTCATTTCCTTTTCTTTTTCCATAACATTTTCCATTAACGTTCATAGGGTATATTGCGTACCCAACAAGTACTATAAAATGGTATCCTCTATCAATCAACATGCACATGCAAGCATTTTACATAAATCATATCATTCACATATCATTCATTTACCTTCTATAAAAATGTAAATCATGATATTTATTTTCATTTAATTCAACGTGATCAATTATTGGATATGAAAAAGATGGATCATAATTTAATTTGCAATAAATATTTAATAAGCAGATATTACTATCTATCAATGCATTTAATTTAAGAAAAGACAAAATTATTATTGAATTTAAAGGCATGTGTACTCACTACTTTACTTTTATTCCTTATTCCAATGACGGTAGATTTAAAGTCTATAAAAGATCACTTCATTAAATTTAAGGGATTTTTACATACATAACACTTAAAAATTTCCTATTTACTCATCTAACACCTAAACTTATCTATTTACACATCTACCACTTAAAACATACTTGACTTTCTAAAATACAATTCCATCATCTTCTCCGTCAAAACCCCACCGGATAACAAAGGCATCCTCCAGCTCACTAACGATACTCGCCGTCTCATCGGCCACGCATTCTACCGCGTCCCCTTCCGTTTCAAGAACTCCACTGACGGCTCCCTCTTCTCTTTCTCTACCACCTTCGCCTTCGCCATCATTGCAGCCCCTATTTCCTGAAGAAAGCTATGCCCTGCTCATTGCAGCCCCTGTTTCCTGAAGAAAAAATACGTCTCTTCCCTTCGACCCGTCTTCTCGATCGCTTCAGTTGGCGATGTTGGAGAACGGCGAGTGCATTTCTTGATCTGGTCGACAATGACATTGAGGACGACGATGACGATGGGGTGGATTGGGTGTCATGCTTTTCACTATGGAAGACATGCCTCGAGTCCCTGGTGTTCGATTGTTGTACGCTAACTCACCTTGTCACTGGATCCTCCTCCCTGACATGCATATCCGGTTTCAGGGCCTCTGTCGAATCAGCCTTTATGACTTCCAAATCCCTGGCATGCATATTCGGTTTTTGAGATCTTGATCCAGAGTACCTGCCCTCAATTTACCCAGTATGCGCCACCCTTATTATGCAGAGAAAAATGTAAACAATACTAATTGTGACTTTCAACTTAAGCTACAAAGAGCATAGAAAACTCTTTTCAAAAAATCTATGATTCAAGAACAAAAACTACTCTTCAATCCCAACGCCATGATCCCTCTGTTTGATAATTAGCGGCATATAAAACCAATGATGCATTCAAATTAATCTTTATATGCAACTAAGCAATTAGTTCCCAGTATTGATTGTCACTAAAACAGAATATCAAACCCAATAAGACTTAATAATCTCAGCAACATTCAAACGATGCTTACTCAGGCAGTACTTCAACATCCCCTTGTGTGATCTTCGTCTGCAAGTCTTTGGGATCCTTCCTATCCACGGAACAGCCAACAAAGACACACGTCCCCAGAATCTCCTTATGGTGCCGCTGATATCCTTAACCATAGATATGGGCGTCATGACCCTTGCAATTTCGATCACATCGTCAAGCGAGATGGAAGAAGCCAGTGCCATTGGTAACGGGTGGAGTTTTGACGGAGAGAAAACGGAATGATATTTTCGAAACTAAAATAGGTTTTAAGTGGTAGGCGTGTAAATAGACAATTATAGGTGTTAAATGAGTAAATAAGAGATTTTTAAGTGTTATGTATGTAAAAATCCCTAAATTTAATTTATCATTTGCTCTTTAATTTCTCTAACTTGTTATTTTAATAACTTATCTTTTTTAAATAGATTTTAATTCTTAAAAATAATCCTAGAGTATTTCACTAA